GCATCTTCTACTTGCTGCGCGCTGGCATCCTGCATCTCAACATCGGCATCATCGACGACAGCCTTGGCTTTGCCTTTATCCGAAAGTACTGCTCGGGGCTGGGTCGATAGCTCTTCGTTCGCAGATATAGCTTGGCCTCGCGAGTCTTTCACGAGAAGCTTAGCTCCCCATTGAGCATCTCTAGCCTTGACCCTGGCGAGATGAGTGACTCGAGCAACCATGTCGAGAACGGCATTTGCAATGGCCGGTCTGAGAGACGGGTGATGCCGAGCAAGCTCATCGAAGCTGCCTCCAATATTCTGGGTCATAGCCTCATCTGTCGCCATTACTCGTACGTGCTCCGGACTCTCGAATATCTCGAAGTAACTGTCAAATGCGTGGGACGCAACAACCATCTTCATGCCAAGGTTGTTCAATGAAATTGCATTCAAGACGGTCGGCACGATGGTGATAGGCTCCGAGTTTGGTAAAATTCCACGAGCTAGCGGACCATCACGAGGTGCTTCCAGGTCCTCCTGCGACGGAGGGTGAGGGCGATTGTCAGGCTCGAGGATATCAGGTGTAGGGACGTCCGAAGACGAATCCGGGCTATCGTCTCGGTTGCCGGCCTGGCTCGAATCCGCTAAACCGGCCTGTGCCGTAGGCACCAGATCACCAGTCAAGGCTTGGAGGTAACTCTGGACGAGTCCGGCCTCAGAGATGGCGGCGAAGCTAGTGGGGTCGTTGTTGAGGAAGTCACTCAGAATGATAACGGCATTAGTCCATACTATGGAGCCGAACTTGGTCATGTTCTCAATGATCTCGCGTATGCTGCGAAGCAGCGCAGTCTTGTCGACGAGGTTCCTCAGTAACCGATCAGTGTTGCCACCGTATGAAAAGGCACTTGACATTAAATGATGGATGAACTTCAAGAGAAACTTGAGGTTCTGCTGCTGATAGAATGGTATCTCGTAATCAACAAGCTGGGAACGATAGCTAGTGGGCGTTCCCTTGCCCTCGGTAATGAGCTTCTCTGCGACATCAACTTCATGAGTAACTAGGTTGGTGATAGCCTCAAGGCCGTCGGCATTTATCAATGTCTGGAAGGAACTCTGCACGTTATAAACGAGTGTGTCTAAGAACGCTACCAAAGTGCCGTAAGTGCGTTCGGCTATGTTGGACCTAATGTTGAGGATCTCGACCAAGATGTCTAACAGCCCGGCCGATATTATCTCCGGCATGTTACGGGACGTGTTATTGACCATGGACATCGAGATATGAAGCGTCAGGGAAAAGAGGTTGTCACGCCACTCGTCCTGTTCACTCCATTGCTCTCCAGAATCGTCCCTCTTCATCTCGGCAACGGCCTTCCTAATAACGTAAAGCAGCACACCGTGATTCACGCTCGCATTCAGGGCCGAGAATATATCCGGTAACTTATGATGGAAACCCGAGATGGCCTCAAGCAGCGATAATGCGATCGACTGCAGATCGATAGGCACAACCATGGCACCATCTGCCGAAGGGTGAATCAGCTCAGCTAGCTGGTAAACAAGCTGAAACCGTCGTGGCTCATCGTGGTCTTGCTTGAGAACCTTTTCGATGAAGGTTGGTTCTATGTGAATGTACGCCAGATTTTGGATAGCCAGCAGGCGTGCCTTCAAAGCCTGCCGCCGGGTCTCCAAGGACCCCGTGAGGGCCTTGGCGACCCTCAGACGATTCAGATATTCGTACTTGGTATCCTTCGGAAGATCCGTGGGCGCCCTAGCAAGAGTTTGGTGGATCGACGTTGATGACACCGATGCGTGAGATACTTCTACAGACTTCTGACCAGGAGGAGTGCCTTCATCCCGCCCGACTGTGGGCCGAGAAGCTGGGCCAGGGCTGTCCTCGGACACTCCTTGACGACTCGCGCGGGGAGTAGACTGCGAAGCAGTAGCAGCGGCAGAGGTACTGCTTCGCCTCAGAGGCGTGGGTGTTGGAGGTACATTTGACGTAGACCCTCGATCAGGCAGAGACTGTTGCGTTGGTCCCTGTGAATTATCCGATGTAGGATAATACGTAATCTTCACATCGCCCCAGCCACTCCACCGTGATTGCAAATTCTCGTCAGAGTCTTCTTTGGCGAGTGCGCATAAGTCGTTGGCGTACATCGTGGCCACGTTTTTGGGGCTACCGCTTTGAGTCTTCTCCTTGCTCTTGCTAGCGGAGCCCGGGGTGGATACAATCGAAGTCTCTAGAGACTTGGACAAGGGCGACTTGACGAAAGGCTGGGCCAGCTGTTGTACACGATCAAGGTCGATGTTATAGTGGTTGGATAGAAGAGTCGTGTGGACTTGTCGAGTTGTCATGCCGTGAATCCGTTTCACCGAAGCCTGATAGCGCTGGGCCAGCTCCACACCAACACTGAGGGTGGCGCAGATGATGGTGAAGTCGGTGCTGTTCAGGAGGTCATTCAGGTGAGAACTGCTAGCATATATGCTGCGGTTCCCACAGTGGTCCAGGAGCATCTGAGTGAATTTAAGAATAGCCACGATGAGGTAGACATCGCCATCCTCGCTGTACCCCAGCTCGGAAAGCTTGCCTAGCTTGGTCGACTGCTCTCCGCCATCATCAGTAGAGCTCGCTCCAAGCAGAACTTCGCAACCGAAGTCTCTAGTCTGTGGGCCCTCGTTCAACTTGTAGGTTGAGCAAAACGATTCCAGGAGTCCATCGAATCGATTCAGCAGTGGTATCCAATGATACAGGTCTCCCCTCGGGAAAGGCCATCGTGAGGGGAATGTGGCAAGGATGTTGGGGAGGAGAGGCACGGGTGCAGAGGTGGTACTGTCGACAAAGTCCTGTAGCCACGGAGACTGGGGGAAGTAAAATTAGCGGGTTGAATAGCAAAAGAGGTTTCTCACAAGGGGCCTTACCAAAGTCTCCTTGTGCTTAGGCTGGATGGTCTTCTCTATCTTTCCCATGGTGAAGGCCGGGGCGGCAGAGCCGCAAAGTATTGGATGTCAGCTCCCCCTCCACAACCAAGAATCAGGTAACTGGCGACGACAGCTTGGCTTGCGGCGCGGGAGCGTCCAAAACAGCTTGGACGACTCCTCTCGAATGATGACTCGAGCTACTCCTTGGTACACAAGGTGGGGTAATCAAGTCTATTGCTGGTGAACCGGTGAGTTGGTGTGTTAAGCCTCGTCTCTCCGGATGTCAGCCTTGCGGGTTATCAAGAATCAAATAGAGTATCGATTGCGGGAAGGCTCCGATGACTTCTCAGTGATGCCTAGTAGATATAGGTCAAATGAGAAACGCCGTACACGTCGCAAAGATGCAAATTATTCCGTCGAGTCCAAGTGAGGTAGAAGGTGGGTTGGTGAGGGGCGAGTGATGGATGATAGATGATTGATGGGCGTAGATACCTGGGTAGATACGGTTCCGGCACGGCTGTCAGAAAGCTGGAACAAAATCGGTGCAAGCGGGTGCAGGCCGCTGTACCGCAATTCCAGTTTCAAGAAGGACGCGCAAGGTGGGGATGAGTAGTGGTAGTTACCTAGCTAGGAAGATTCGGATCCTCCCAGTTCAGATCTATTGATTTTTTACTTGACTTGATCGTTGATGAAATAAATTTGGCGGAGTCGAGATTTGTTGAAAGGAAAGAGAAAAAAAGGTTTACCGTAGTTTCAATGAGGTTTGTATGTTCTTCGCGGCTGATCGACCACTGCATTTTGCGTACAGGTAATGATGTGGGGCTTTGCCTTGGTGCCCTTTGCAGATTGCTACCTCATACATGGATACATGAATACCTACCTACAAGGTATTATTCTAACATTTGAACCTCACACAGGCCGCCAAACGGCACGTCCATCGTCAATCCACATATTGTAAAAACAGATTGTACTCTGTACTTCGCCTACTTCCTTCCCAAAGGTCACATGTGGGAATACTGTACTGTAGTCTGTAGGACTTGAAGGACGTGCTGTGTTAAGCAGGCATGATGCCATTCTTCTTTGTGTCGAAGCGTGTAGCTACCAATTCTCACCAGAACGTCCTTTTCATACCCGAGTATCCAGGATCCGAACAAAGTCATTGGTTCGTCGAAAGGTTTTTTTTTCTCTCAAATCGCAGCCCAACCTCTAAACTAGAAGCCATAGACACTCTATCATGTACTGTATGTATGTACATGCAGAATGAAGTACAGAATGAATGCTTGGGGATATCATTGCTGCCCAGGGCCCTTACAAAGCCCTGATTCTATCACCACGCTCTCTTTCTGGGTTAGGTATCAGCTACCATCAACTTGTGGGCCTGACTCACCTTATATCAGTACTGTAGGTACGGATTACCTTGGCACAGTTCTTATTTGTTATTGAATGTCACGGCCAAGGCCAACTTCACGTCGTGCAGTAGGTACTAATTGTACAAGTAGTGAGTTCCGTACAGGTCCACGATAGATCCTAAAGTCGACCATGAACAAGCACCATCCATAAGTACGTACTGTACATCGTACATTACCTGAGGTACGTGTACTACATGTATTGGATACAGTGTATGACGTAATTTAGGTACTCATCTAGCTATCGTATGTACATTATTCGAGGCCTCAATCGGGATAGGTAAAGCCCTTAACAACGTTTAAACAATAAGTCCTGTCAAAATTATCTACAAAGTGTGAATACCTAAATTTTCATTCTTCGAGGAGTGCCAACACATACAAACATGATTTAATGCAAGCAGATTTAGTAGTACGATGGAAGTAAATACCTAGGTACTTGGTACATAGTAGTTCCAGGCGGCCAGGACCAGGTTACTGTAGGTTACCGGGCCCTACCTCTTTTAGGTCTAGTCCCAAGCGGCCGAGCTTCATCGGCATCCCGTGCCAGTATCAGAAGCGCCAAGGATGCCGTTAGTGCTACAAAGACGGCATCATTATTAGGTCCTCTAGGCTTTAGGGCCCCAATCGGGGATTTCGTGGCCGCACAGAATCGCGCGGAGTTATAAATCATGGCTAAATTTTGCGAGCATTCAATCAGACCGGGCTTGTGGTTTAGTGGTATAATACTCCCTTAGCATTAGAAGGCCTTGCATATTTTCAGCTTTACATGAAGAACTTGTCTTGTTGTCGTCAGCTTGGGAGTGGTCCGGGGTTCGATTCCCCGCGAGTCCATCGTTAGGAGGTTAGATCCCTCTTATACCACTTCTTTTTGACGAATTTTCCGGTATTCCGTTCAGTTATCCTAAGCATACCTGAGTTATTAGCCATGAATGTTCTTCATTCCTGTCGGCGATTTGGATACTGATCATACTAATCTCCAAAATCAATGCATTCCAAAACTGTGGTCGATTACCATCAAAGGCTTCACCTGGACATAACTCTCAGTTGAATCCGAAGGCATCCGCTTCCCCGTATGCGTCCCTCTAGCGCAGACATCGATTTTCCATTGTCGTCCTATAGGCTCGTCTTTATCACGCGCGTTTTTATCTTCAAATGTTGAATAGAGCGATACGCTCGTAGACCGCGTGTCAAACGGGCCTCGGCCATTAGCGCACATGTAATCCTCGAGGAAGAACTCGGAGAGCGTTCGATCATCTTGCCTAATTGATCGTATTCTGCATCATCAGTCCAACTTTTCCCATATTGAAGGATGAGATGTTCCGCAAGTTCGGCCACGATACTTTTAGGTGTTGTCATGGGAGGCCCCTGAACTGAGCTGGCTGCTAGAGCTCGCCCGAGGACATCGCGGTGGAAAGGCCAGAAGTATATGTAAGGACGTGCTTGGCGCGATAGATCTGGGTAACATCCAGCTAATATGTAATTGAGTGCGGTAGTGCTATATTAACAGGGTAGTGATTGTGCCCCGTCGTTCCCAGTCCAATATATCCGCATCCCTTCCTCGTCGAATCTTGTGAGTCAGGAAAGGAAGAGAGTGATCTGCAGAAAGGATATGAACACGCACGTCACTGGGATCACGAAGTTTGAGATGGAAATAAATCCCACGGTCCTCTCCGTTTCTAGATAGACGAAGCGCCGCGGCCCTTTCCAAATGTGATACCGGACTGTAGTCAACTGATGTGGGCCTGTCCTCCATCCTGCATAGCTTGACGCTTTCCAACCAAGGCGTGCTTTCGAGACACGCTTGCGTCGTGAAGACGTGTAAATCAGTACCTACCCGACTGATTGTAGTCATGGCACTCTTGGACATTCCTTCGTCAAGCTCTACTAAAGTTTGCCGCAACTCCGGCGTTGTGGCCGAGTAGTTCACTCTGCTCCCGTCAATCGAACAGAACCTGGCTCAGACAAGTAACATTACAGCAGAGTGTCTTCCATTATCTTCCACCAGCCGTATGCTGTTTTGGAGTTAATACCTGGGACGCTTTTGCTGCTGGCCAGAGCATACTTGACAGTATCTAGCAGTGTGAGGATGTGCGTCCTCTACCCGTACTCAACAAGGGCTGGGTTCAGGCATGTCCTGTTGAAAACCCACGAGCGAAGTTTCGAAAACAAGGTTGGAAGGTCAGTCCAGTGCGTGGCTCGAGACGGGGTTTGCTTGTACCTGTCGATTCTAATGATAGTCATGAAGACGCAAAGTAGGCGGTAGATGAAATCGTTAGTTTATGGTCATTGCGGCGATAGTGTGCCTAATGATAGGTCTTGTGGCCAACCTCTCCAGGGGAGGGAAGGGATCGGTGTATTTAAGTTCGTATGGTAGTCCAAATAATAAAATCCAGGAGAATCTGATTAAACGAAAGGCAAACACTACTTAATGTCTTGGCTGGTATTGATGAACTGATACGAAGAGGAACCAGTGTAGGCCTTTGTTATTCAAAGCAAGCCGTGGTTGGAAGTATTACACCAGTTAGAACTGTTAGAGGATACAAAATACTGTTGGTTGGCTTGCCCTACGTCTCTCATGTGGAGATAAAAAAAGGGAGCTTTGATAGAAGATTTATGGAATCACCCCGTCTTCGATTCCACCGTAGGCGGTAGGTACCAGGTGGTTTCCTGGAAGACTCGCCACCGGGCAGCTTGGAGATTTCTGTACCCAAGATTGGACTATCTGAGCTAATATCTGGTTCCATTGGCATGCCAACAAGTCATGAAGCCACTGTAACAACCCGTCGAGCATACAGTGGCGTCACGGAATGGGCGAGGCCTTTCCCCTTTTCATTAGTATAGGTGCCAGAAGTGGTCAAGAGAGATCCGTTTAAGGATCGCTGCAGCACATTACTCCTTAAATACCCAGATATCAAGACAAGAGCCTTTATTTCGTACCCGACTGGTGTTACATATCCCTTTATGTGACAAGACTAGGTAGAATTCTGAGCCTCCCTGAAGCCATTCCCAATTCGTTACTTGGAGCCTTAAAGCCACGGCTTCAATAGTACTACGCAACTAGGCAGCGGTTCCGCGGACCAATCAGACCGAAACCGTTGATATATCAGAATGAAATCAACAAGCCAAATCTGATGGAATAGTTACCCATATTCTTGGTTAATACAGATGCTGATCTGCTTAGCTAACCTTCACTACTCCTGTAATTCCACAAGTTGGAAATACGGATGGTTCCCCTTAAGCACCATCACATATACTGTCTGCAAACATAATTTCCGATTACTTTTCTGTATTCATACGCACCTGATATCTCTAAAAGCCCAGCACTAGTTAGGTACGTCGTTCATGGGGAACGAAGCTTAGAAGAGCATTCAATGTGTCTATCAAGATGCCTTCAACCTGAAGGTGTCCCTGAGCTGGGCATATGATTTGAATATCGAGTCTTACGTATTTTTGCCTACCTACCTACATAGGTACTTTAGGTAAGATATGGTGTACGATCTGAATACTTTAATTCATCCGGTCCTTTTAAAGTTGGCCGTACAAGCTTCCTTGACTTCAGTGCACATAACGACTTTTCTCTGAAAACTATACATAACCTACATTTCGTCAGCCGTTCAAGCACCTATCTTCCATAGGTATGCACTCAGTCTACTTACCCACGTAGCATAAGTGCCCGGGTATAGGTGTATGTAAGTCTTTATGATGGGACCTCGAGAGTGTACTTTCAAGAAGGCGTTACAAGAATAGATACGATAGTCCATTTTCCCACGCTTACATGGAAAAATAAGAAGATGGAATGAAATACCTAAATAGACGACCTCCCTACCCCCTCTTCTTACAAAAATGCCTCGTGCTACGCTACGGAACCTTGATCATCTGGACTACTTACCTCAGGTACACAACTGGACAAGTCCTCACTCAAGGAGGTTGTGGTCAGACCTCGCACTCAAACGTGACAGCCACACTGCCACAGCCCAACGCAACCAGCTGCCTATGTGGTTGGCCAACGAAGCAGCCAATGATATGCTGCTTCTAGAACTGTTGTCAGCTTTCGAAAGAGTCCGACATCTTACCTATCAAACGGCTGGTGCTGATGTGTTTTTCACACAGAGCTTAATATAGAACGGAACGCTAAATATCCAAATAAGATCTGAAGGTAACAATAGGCATTCTGAAGAGAAAAGCCGGGAATATTATTGTTGCGACAAAGCCATTGTTACTACTGCAAAGATTCTGGTGGTGATGTCACTTTGTAAGGGGTTAGATGATGCAGCACGACTTAGATTTGTGACCATATTGAGAACATTGCATGCAATTGCATACAGCTCAGACTTCAATTTCGGCTTGCAGCCAGTCTTGTTTGCAGATTTGGAACATACATCACGTTTGTGCTACCTTGGGTACTCGAATCTTGAGTCTCGACACATTGTAGACCGCTGGGCTATGTACATATGTACATCCTTACATGTAGTGGACTGTGGAGATAGGCGGTGATAAGCCCTAAAATGAAACCCCTGAGCTAACGTAAGTTCTAGAGGCACTATCCAGATACATATCTCTACATGTTCATGCACGCGATTTGGTGTTTACTCGTAGGTACTTAGGTAGGTACAGTATGTACTGCGTCTATGCACTGTCTACCCCACTGTACATATATAGGTACATATCAATAGGTACCTGTAAACTGGTCTAGGTCCGTGCGCCACCGTTGGATTTAAGAATGATCCCCAGCTCCAACCAAAACCTCCACCAAACATCCTAGTCGTTTTAGTGGCGTTCCTGTGAAGGGGGAAGGTTAAGGAGGAAGACAATTAACGAACAACGTGCGGTGAATCGGTGAATCTGAAATACAATACGTCGTTTTTTGCTTTCACCTCTTCCTTTCTCCCATGCAACTTTGTCCTGTCCACGACTCTTATTCAATACCCATATTAATTCCTTTTTCAAAGAGCACGTATGCCGATGCTTGCTTGAAATTCCACCGGCGTCGCGTCTACTTATCATTCACGAAGTACCAACCATCCTCTGTCGCCAATAGTATCGTCTATCTGCTGGACCCCATAGATGCAACAGTACCTCTTCACACAACCACTTTGCGCCGGATCGAAACTCGACAACTATCACAATAGAAACCACTGGCATTCACTCATTCACCATGTCAGGCCCAGAGGAGCCGCGCTCGTCTGGCGCTGAACCGCGGGTGAATGGATCGCCAGCTCCTTCGGACAAGGACACGGTACGTTTGTTTTTCACGTGCAATCGCCCCTCGTCTACCTCGACCCTGATTGGAGTCGGTCGCAATACATCGCCCTATAAAACTCTAGGCATGCTAATCTCCAATTATGTATAGGACACATTCGAAGATGCCGTCGACACGGGATCTGTCCGATCTCTAACCAGCCGTAAAGTATCTCCTCGGCCTAGTAGCGGTGCCACCGACGGAATCCCTGAATCTCTAGGAAGCCCACAACTCAAAGCAAAGCCGAACGGGCACACAACACAAGAGAAAGAGAGTGATTTCGTGGACGAGAGTAACAAAGTTACGAAGCCATTGCCCGCATCCCCATCCGCATCCCCCTTCAAGCGCAACTCGAACGCATCCCTAGACAATGTCGATCTCAATGATGTAGTAACGGAGCAACGAAAAGGTTTGTACATACCAACTTGCAGTGCCTTTATCATCTAACGTGTATGCAGAAGAGCCGCCGATAGTAGTAGCCAAACAGCCATCTAAGAAGTTATCTCTCAGTAACATCACCAACTCTTTGCCGGCGATGCCATGGTCTCCTACTCCCTCCAACGTAGAATCTCCGCCGAAAACAAGTCCGAAT